AACGGCTGATGAAATTTATGTCAAAGATACCGATAAATTTTCAATTATGACTAATTTTGACAAACATTTCTTATGGTCTGGGATGGTTTTTTAAAAGAACATGGAATGAAAATTCGTGAAAATTATATTATGCTGTATTGGACCGTTTATAATTCGGCTTCTTACACATCTTCTTCCGTGTTAAGTTATTCAATGCGATTCAATGATAAACGATATTAGATTATTCATATAACAAATCCTTATTCCATCGGGAAAGACTACTACAATTACAAATAATATTCTAATCGATTCTAATACACGATTGTACAATACCAGACAATACCAAAATCAGCCGTTCATTGCGGTTCATGGCAACACCTGTCAAATTAGACGTCTACTTTTTTTTCTCTCCGTCTATTTTTAACAAATTTGTTTGTTTTTAAATTGTTTTTCGTCTTAATTATATGATATTTTACATCAAATTAAGAGTTAAGTCCTGTTTTACCTCAGCAATATAAAGTTTTCGTTCGAAATTTATTTTGTGTACAGTTTTCAGTGTATAATTTCTTCAAGTTTTTCTTCGTTCTGTTTACTTGTTATTGTTGTTGCCTACTGACTGACTCGGACTGACTGTCAACATGTGTACATCGAACTGTGAGGTAAAAAGCCAAATCGCTGAGCTGCTGACAATGCTGGAGCCAATATGGACCAAATTAAACCAGCTCAAAAAACTTTATCCTGACGAAATTAGCTCCGTGAGTTCGGACAAAGCCGATAAATCGGCAAACTCACGTACTGAGCCCATGGATGAAACACCATCACCAACTCAAGCTCAGCAACAAATATCGGACAACGTTTCAAACTCGGGTTTACCGCTTGGAGACTTGCAAAATGTAAACATTTCACGGCGGAATAAAAGCAAGCGGCCCAGACTTGACTCGGAAGAACTGAACTCTTCAGATGAAGAGCAAAGTGACACTTCACCGCTGTGCAAATTGGTTTTTAGTCGTGATGCCAGTGGGAACTGTGGACAAAACGGTGCAAATTCAAAGCCCGTTGATACTATATTGATGCGCTCGGTTTATTTAACCGAATTTCTACCGACAACCGAGCCTGCCGACATTATTAATCACTTGAATAGCATTGAAACCGTCCGACCATTGACAAGTGATTTCAAAATAACCAAGCTCGTAAAGAAAGACAACAAAATGGAGTTGTCATTTGTGTCATTCAAACTTGATGTTCCTCGCCAACACTTTGACAAGGTAATAGCGGCAGGTATTTGGCCCAAGAAAATCAAAGCCACCGAATTTCAGGTCAAGTCTATGAAGTCATCTGCACCGGCAAACCGTCCCAAAACTCATGACAACCAACAAATTCGGTCGCAACTACAAAATTTATCAGCAAAGGCCGCTCATATAAATTCAAAAAACTCCATTGGCACAGTGAAAACTCAACGGTTGGAACCGGCAATGAATGTATCAAACAGGCATTGCAACAAACGGCCACTGCAGCGCCCACGGAGGGGTCGGCGCCAACGCAACCAGCCGAATTGTGTCAAAAGAGCTGTTGTCTCCAACGTCAGCCTCAACCCGTCGTGAAGAGACAGCACAACGGCTGCACAGGTCACTACGAAGGAAATCTTCACGATTTTCATCGCCGATGTTGCAACTAGAGTCATGCACATCGGATGAACACTGCGTTTTGTGTACAATCTATTACCAAAACTGTCGTAGCATATGCAACAAACACAAACGCTTCTTTTGTACCGCCGCTTCCTGCAATCACGATATGATAATTTTAACTGAAACGTGGCTCAGAAATGATATTTATGATGCTGAATTTTTTGACGATTCATATTCTGTTTTTCGTAAGGATACACTTTTTCAACGTGGCGGCGGTGTACTAATTGCAACCAAAAACGAAAAATTTGCCAGTGAAGAGATTAAAATTGCCGGTGCCGGCCGGTGCTGACCATTTGGAATACGTTTGTGTGAAAGCTACTACTAAATCACATGTCATCTACATCTACTGTGCATACATTCCACCAAATTTACCGCAAACAGTCTACGAATCACATTTAACAGCCATGTACAAAATCGCTACCGATCCTGATGATGTTGTTATTTTTTTTGGTGATTTTAATCTGCCACATATGGAATGGTCACCGATAGCGACGACGACAACATCATGATTCCAACTAAATTTGCACCTGAGTACACGGCCACTTTCATCCAGGGACTCATGAGCATGGGAGTTCATCAGGTAAATCATGTACGTAATGATTCAAAAGAACGACTATTGGACCTGTTCTTTACTAATGATTTTACCAACATCTCAATTGAGCGTGTTAACGAGGCTAACGCACTGACGGAAGTGGAAGATCATCATCTACCGATAATGGCTACATTTGAGTGGCATGGAAATAATACGACTGAAGCTAATATTACAACAAAGGCATTCAATTTCAAACGGGCCAACTACAGGGACATGAATGCACATCTGGCAAATGTCAATTTTACCGAGTTGTTCCATGGAAAGACAATCATCGAGAAGGTGAACTTGCTGCATAAAATTTTGGACTATGCAATCATCAAATTTGTGCCTACTTACATTGTCAAGTCGATACAAAAATGTCCATGGAAAAACAAATTCCTAATTACACTAAAAAATAGGAAAAATAAAGCATGGAAACGTTACAGACGATCAGGCTATCATCATTCGCTTGAATGGAAATACATTTTGGCGTCTCGTGAATTCGATAAACTCAACACGGAACTATACAACACATACGTGGACAAAATGAAATCCTTGCTCAAGCATGATGCGTCGAGATTTTGGCAATATGTCAATTCAAGAAAGAAATTTTGCGTACAGGATACAGGGTACAGCGTACAGACATACATGCGGATCCCCCAAAAAGGTGATTTTCGGGTCTGGGAGGATGAGAAATGGATAGAAAACATCATTTTAAGGGGTCAAAAAATTTGGGCCGAAACCAATACTTTTCTTCCCCACACTCCGCCACACTCATATCGTGTTCCATGACATGTGGGGGGATAGTAAAACTTCTTTCGAAGTAATTCCTCGTGACGAAAGCGAACACAAAACAGCTGATATCAATTTTAAAGAATCATTTCGGAGCGATTTTGATTTGCTTTTTTTGCATTCTTCCAATTAATTTCAGAATCGCTCTGTAATGATTTTTTAAAATTGATATCAGCTGTTCTGAGTCCACTTTCGTCCGCTTTCGTCACGAGGAATTACTTCGAAAGAAGTTTTTTATTTGATTATTAAATACCGTCAAATACCCATCGATACATATTATATTTGGCCTTACCCAATTAATTCTAGTCGATCTTAGTGTGTATTTGAGTGCTTCCCTGCCATTTCTAGCGATATATAGGCATCCCGATAACTGAATCGAACTGAATTCACAAGATTGATTGAATTCAGCCCCAAATTAAAAGTATAAACTATAATATAATAGCTAGGTCAGTTCGAGTCAGCTGACTAAAGTAACAAGAATTTGCTGTCTCCTCACGTCTCCTCATGAATAAAAACAGACTGACGCCGACTGATGAGAGGATAAAATCGAGTGTGGGTTGATAGAGAAATTTTTCCGGGAAATTATTCAAACCTCGTCAAACCTGAAATAATCTCAAAAGTATTGAATGAAGAAATCGTATTACATTAACGTACATTAAACGTCAAAATGATTTTTAATCGTTTTTAATTCACACACAAATGACACAAACGGACACAAAACACATTAGCTAATCGAAACACTCACACAAATTTTAACTGTTGGCTCTATTTATTTATCTATCGTTGGGTTATGGTTTTATCGGGTTTGATTCGGTTTGATTATCAGTGGTAAGTGACTTTTGATGTAAACGTAGAAGCGCATAGAAGAAGATGGTGTGACGTTTTTTACGAATTACAGCAGTCGTAAGGCACAAGAAATTGTATGAAAGAAATCATACCAAATCATACCGAATCATACTAATGATTCCGGATGATTCAGCAACCAAATAGAACCAAATGGAGAAATTAATTACGAATTTATGAATGAACTCTATTGCATTCGATTGTAATTTATTTACCTATTTATACTCTAGGAATCAAATCCAAGTGTAGCGGCCCCGAGAATGATTACCATGATCAATAAGAATCCGAATTCCGAGAATGCATCCGGATGGACTCTAGACAGTGGATATGCAAACCTATCTTCTGAGACAAATTACCCGTTTCAGATGATTCAGTCAGTATACTGACTACAGTCTCCCAATATTTAATGTTGATCCTTACATCTTATCGAAGTTACATAGATTACCAATGCAGAGGAATCGACCAGGGGTTTAAATTAGTTTTGACTACGCCCAGTGAAACATCGAAACCATCACGAAAATACGTACGGCTTCCGATTTTAACACAAAATGCGGTTGACATCAGTCTAAACGTAACGAAACGTAATCACAGCTACAGAAGGAGTACGCGATTATGAGCCACATCAATGAAAATGTCTCTACAGCTTTGATCGTTCGTTGCGTTTCTTCCGGTTTCTTCAAAATCTATACGAAAATCAATTGCGAGGAGGAGTGTTTGGCCAACTTCACGAGAATCGAGTGTGGTTGTGTGAAATTTTCGATGTTAAGTATTGGATCTTATTCATTTTCAATGGCCGATTTTGACCAACGAAAACACTTTTATTTCAATTCACAGGAGACAAACCGAAACACATAAAAACTTGCGGTGGGGCATATGTAAAGTGGTACCAACTGGCTGCAGCTGGCAAAAAGAAAACGATTTACCATTAGCAATGGCAAAGCATTCTATGACAAATGCAACTGTTTGCCGTCGTGTACGTATGTGAACGTCGTGTACTCCTCCATGGAATGTGTGCCATAACACATTATGACTTTTTTTTACTTTCAGGCCTCAGTATACAAGTGTTTACCTATATTTTGGAAAATAAAATTCAAAACCAATGAACAGAAAAGAGTTGTAAAAGTTTACTGGTGACTTTTTTGCCGTTTTTAGCCGTATGTGGTGGATTACTTGGATTGTTCTTGGGTGTTTCTGTGCAGAGCATCTTTGAACCGCTTTGAACTTATTTATTACTTGACGCTTCGTTTATTTTGGCTCAATCGCCGTGCAATGGCCAGAAATGTGGTAGTACCATTTAATAACGAGTAATGGGTGATCCCGAAATCGATCGAGCTTAAAAAACGTTAAAAAACCACTCGGATTGAATAAAAGTCCTTGTAAGGCTACTTTAGCGTATAATATCACATATGTTTGTGGAAATGTTCACGGCAGTTTTTGGTTTTTTGACTATAGAAGTAAAAATCGGCAATATGTACCAGGTAACGCTCGGTAACGCTTCATCGTCGTATAGAAGGAGTTGCATCAAAAGTATCACATGAATTATGAAGTATTCGAGGAGTAAAAACCAACACTCATGAGCTCGCCAATTGAGCCATTAATTTGAAATTAATTTCAAGAACAGTCCCATTGCACAACAAAACTCATATATTTTACAATTGATTCAGATTGGTCAGTTCCGTACGGTTCCGTATTCTTGTTATTCGTTGTTATTATTATTCACTGATCCGTTTCATTAAACGAAGAAGAGGTCAATAAAAGCGAATAATATCAAACGACGTATTTACGTCATATATTTATCTAAAACATTTTGTCGATTTTTGTTTAAAATTAGCATCGAACCGCATCAAACAAAATATAAACAAACCGAAGCAAATGACGGTGATAGATTTTGACATTTAGTTCGCTCAAATTCGCCGCGATATGATATGAATGGAAAATGGAACGTAAACATGAAGTGACATTTGTCGCAGTTATTCATTTTGATGAAACACGTGAAAACACAGATAAAATTTCATTTAATTTTAATTTAACTGAGCCCAAAAAATTAGAATAATTTTTTTTGTATTGAAACATGTTTTTTTCGAGTTTTTCTCTTCAAGAGATTGCTATACGTTGCTATATTTATACAAACGTGGTATTTCATTGTGTGGTTTGTGTTTGTTTTGGTTGATTCATGTTGACACAATGATTCTAATAGTGATATGCTGTACAATTGAGGCTTAAAATAGTTTTTTGTTTCTCATTTTGAAAAAATAACAATAGAATAAGAGAGATTTCGGTGTAATGCAAGCAGATTTTCATGTTTTTATCGGTTTTTATGTGAAAGAACTATTATTCAAAACAGTCAATAACAGTATACCTAACGTGTAAGCTTTTGAATACTATTGGTATACAACGTTTGTAGTACATGTTCTTGCACCAGTTGGCGCTTCTGGGCTCATTTATATGAGAATTGTCAAGAAGGCGCAGTGTCGAATAGGACGTAGAATTCGGTGCATTTTGACAATTTTCATTCTTTTTTTTCTTATTTCTTGAGAGGGAGAAAGAAAGAGAGGGTGAAAGAGAGAGAGAGAGAGAGAGAGAGAGAGAGATGTGGGGTAGGCCTAGATTCTCTTTTTAATCTATTGTTTAACGGTGTTCATTTGTCCACTTCACTTCTCACAAGTGCCTGTGGTCATTCAAATAGCTGAATGCCGAAAACAATGATCATTGAATAC